CTTCCCTCACCCTCTGCCAAAGCTCAGCCTGTTCTAAGGGACCCCCACCACCTCCACCCCTAACCTGTCCCCCAGCCTAGCCAGCTGCCCTCAGGACAAGGGATCAGCTCCAGAGAGGAAACTCGAGAGTGGGCCAAAGGCCACAGAGCCTGAATTTCAATCCCCAACACCCACACCCGCTGTGTAGCCCTGGAAGATGTGCTTACCCTCTCTGAGCCTCAAGTGCCTCAACCGCAAAATGAGGAGAATATCAGCATCCATTTCAGGGACTGCAAAGATGTCTGTCAAACACACAGCACTTCCTGGCCCATGGCCACAGCAACTCCTTAAAGGGCCTTCAGAGCAACCGACAACCCGATGAAGCGAGCTGAGTAGGGAAACGCCCAGAGGCTTCCCAGAGACAGAATCGGAACCTAAGACCAGGTTTCTTGTTTACGCCTATATTTTGCAGGTGAGGAAACTGCGGCCCACGGGGCCCTGCGAAGTTCCTATCTACAGAGGCAGTAGACATTCCCTGTCATGGTGTCTACCTGGGCCTTGAAACTCCTCCCATAAATGGCCTAGAGGACAAGCAGCCAAGGTGGCTCCCCAATCCCTGTCCAGTGAAGCCTGTCAGGCTGCGTCCCTCTGGCAAGCCAAGGCTGGTTTGACCCTGGGGCCTCTCGCCTGTGCTCCTGGTCCTCTCCCAGAATGTTCCTGGCCCTCCCAGCTGCTCTAGGTCCCCTCTCAGAATGCTCCCAGCCCTCCCAGCTGCACCATCCCTCTCCCAGAATGCTCCCAGCCCTCCCAGCTGCTCCCCGGACATTTCCCAGAATGCTCCCAGCTGCTCCCCAGCCCTCCCAGCTGCTCCCAGCCCTCCCAGCTGCTCCCAGACCCTGACCAGTGAGCAGTCAGGGTTCTCCAAAGGAGGCCCCTTCCCCAGGTTCCATGCCAGCTGCAGAGGCTTTGGTGGGCGCCTTCTGTGCTTTCCAAGGCCTCAGACATAGACAAAGAGTATAGAGAGGCCTGGTCCCCTAGAGCCCAGGGGCTCACCCCACCCTTTCCCTAGCTGAGCTTAGACTCTGACCTCACATCCCATGCCCGGTCCCATTCCTCTTGGCCTTCTCTGGCCTCCCTCCCCACCTGTCAGTCCCTGGGGCTGGCCTGCAAAAGCCAGAGAGCCGTGGTGCAGCTCCCCCTCCTCACTACTTCGGTCCTCCCCAAGGAGGGGGAATTGCCAGAGTCATCTCCTGTCCTCACACAGCTGCAGCAGTGGCTACGGACTTAGCAGATCTCCAGGGGAAGCTTCAGGGGTGGCCCAGGGCAGGTATTCCGAGCCCTTCAGCAGGAAAGCCCTCTCTATATCCAACCTCTTCCCCCACAGTGCCAGTGTGATCGCCGCCTTCTGTCACTGGCCCCTGGCCTATAAAGGCCCTTGGTAAGGATGTCCTGGAAGTCCCTTCCAGGCCTTGGAGCTAGGCAAGTATGGATCCGAATCCACTTCCAGAGCTAGATGGCCTTGGGCAAATTATCCAACTCCACCTCAGCTGCTTCATCTACCAAAGGGGAACGGTGGTATGGGCGCCTTACAGAGCCATTGGGAGGTGTCCACAGCCATCTCCAATTGGCCCAGCCCTGAGCCTGCCACAGAGCCGGGCACTCACCATGCTCAGCAGATGCCTAAATCAAATCCAGCCTGCTCCGCCCCCACACTGACAGCTGCAGATGCCACTCTCCTGGCAAGAAGCTTCTACAGCTACCACTTGCCCCTGACACGCAGTTTCCCCGAGTCTGGCCACGATCTATTGCCTGCTCCTGTCCCACCCTCCCCCTCCCCCAGCTACCCTTCCTATGTCTCTTACCGAGGACCTAAAGAATACGTACCCCCACCCTCCTCTTTCCCAGCATGCATGGCCTGTGCGGCCTTCTCCAGGAAGTCTTCCATGATCTTGTCGGCCCACACTGATTTCCCTCCTCCAAGATCTCATACTCCACAAATTCAATTCGTGCCATTTTCCAGCTGGCAGCTGAATTTTCACAGACTCCCTAAGGCCAAGGGCCACCCACACTCACCAGCTGCTTGCTGAAGTTCTGGACACACTGCTCAAACTGCTCATCCTTGGTCTCATCTGCCTTCCCCAGCTTCTGGAGGACCTGCCGAGGCCAGGAGGGAAGGGGAGAGTGTTACCTGGGAAAGGACAGTGACCAACCCAGGAGTGTTCCGTCACCAACACCACAGACCAGGGTCTGGGAAGCCTCTAGCCAACATCGCCCAGTGCTGAGTGCCCTCCCAGGGCATGGCTGGGTCCACCCGGTCTTCAGGACACCCCACCCTCTACCCAGGGCTCAACAATCAGCCAAAAGTGGAGCTTAGGACAGGCTTATAGTGACCACAGCCAGGAGGAGGGGGGCTTCAGAGGCAGCAGGAAGGATCGGGCGTCCTCCTTGCTGACCTCACACTACACCCCTGGGTGCTCTGCCCCCACCCTGGCAGCTGTAAAGTGGGCCAAGCAGAAGTGGGGCCAAGCAGGGGCAGCCCCCCTTCCCCAAATGACTCCATTCCCTGGGCCCAAGGCCCATGAATGCCACAGGCATCAGCAGAGCAGGCCCTGAACCGACAGGAGCCATCTCAGAACAAGGAGGGCAGCAAGGGGTGGCTGGGGGCTGCCAGGCCACTCGGAGTCCGCTTCTGACCTGACTGGGTTTTTAGACGTGACCTGCCCCAGACACTCTGCTCCCTCCTGCACAGGCGCATGTACACACACACACACAAGGCACACAAGGGCACACACATGGGCTCACAGCCACTCTGCTGGCAGCCAAGAGTCTCAGAGGCAGACCCCCTGGTGAGAGGCAGCTGTCCTCCTCCTTCAGCTGTGTTGGGGGGGGAGGGGACCGGTGGGCAAGGGCCGAGAAGGGGAGCCACACCGGGACGGACGGGGAAAGCTCCAGGGAAGGAAGGCGCCGGCTCAGGTCCCTGAGAGCACAGGCTGACCACCATGCCCTCCCAGACTTCCCTCAGTGCGCCTGCTCCCCCAACCCCAGAGCTCCCCATGAGTGTCAGAGAGGTGGGAGCAGGGAGGCAAGATACAGAGGGAAGGGGGGATGAGGGGGCAGGTTAGGGAAGAGCAGGAGAAGAAAAGGACAAGGAGCCAGGGCTCAGAAACGGGATGAGGAGTGCGGGGGTGGGGGGATGCTGGGGAGTGGAGGGGAAGGGCAGGGACACACCCATCTGCAGCCCGGGGGGCACCTCCACTAGGGCGGAAAAAGGGCCAACACTGACGGCTCAGCAGAGGCCTCTCCCAGGCACTGACCAAGACCCCACAAGAATGAGAAGGAAACGGGGTAAGGGGTGGGAGTGGAAAGTGAAGGGAGAAAAGGTGGGCCCAGGAGCAGTGGGGAGCCCCATGAGCAAGGGGCGAGGCCAGCAGGCCCGCAGACACACCCTCCCTTCCAAGACCCGGAGCCAGGCCACACTGCCAAGAAAGTCAGCTTTGCCTGCCCAGGGCCCAGGCCAGGGTTCTGCACTGAGGGATGCCTGGTTCCAGGACAGAGCCGGGCCCCTTCCCACCCTGCCCGCCCTTGCAGGGCCTGTGCTGCCCTGCTGCACTTCCCCCACCCGGCCCAGGAGCCCTGGCAAGGCCAGCTGCTCTTGTCCATCTCCCACCAAGCACCTGCTCTGTGCCCGGCCTTGAGCACCTTGGCTGGTGCAGCAGAGAAGAATCACATGTGGGTCTCTGTCTTGACACAGGGGAACACTTAGGGATGTGGGACCCTGGGGTGGAGATCCATCTAACCAGGGAAGTCAGGGAAGAATTCCTGGAGCGGGTGACAGCTCAGACAGAGGGGAGGGGCTACAACAAAGGAGACCAGAAAGAGGGAGCATTTGACTGGGGAGTTTTGAATTGCTCACGGTGACTGGAGGTCACAGAGGATGGTGCGGGAAGGTGAGTGGCAGGCAGGGGGCAGGTGGGCACTGAGAGGCAGCACTCACGATGCTGTGCTACCATGGTCAGGGCACAGCCCATGGGCAGGGGCAGCTGGATGCCAAGTGCTGACGCTGGGATGAGAGTAAAAACAAAACAAAACCCACATGAGCAAGAAAATGGACACTGCACAGTCACAGGCTCCCCATTGCTGCCCTGGCAGCCACACCCAGGAGGCTGAAGGGACCCCAGAAAGTGAGTTGAGTTGAGGAGGTACCTCGCCCAGCTCAGCACAGAGCTTGGGTAGGCAAGTCAGCCCCTCTGCTGAGGTGCCCGCCCCATAGCCCCACCACCTCCAAAGACAGGAAGAGGCCACCAGATGGAAAAGAACTCCCAGAAGTATACCAGGGTCACCAGAGAGACCCAGAAGCTCTCAGAAACAGGTAAGGGACTGGTCAACGCCCAAGAAAGGAGCAGCAGGGAGGTCACCTCCATGCCTTGCTCTCCTTCTCCCTGGGAAGACAGACACAGTCAGCCAGCAAAAGGTCCCCAGTCTGTCCCACCCACACCGGACATCAGGGCTCTCGAGGTATGCAGAGGCAGACGCACACTCGACCCAATTCACAAACACTGCTGTGTGCTCTGCACAGACAGCTGGAGCCCACAGGGAGATCTTCCAGCCTTGAGAATGAGAAGCCAGCCCAGGTGAGACTCCATCCAGCAGTGACAAGACGCTTGGGAAAAGGGACACCTACACTCTGAGCCTCAATCTACAAAATGAAGTGAACATCAGCACCCTCCTCAAGGACTACAAAGATCATGTCTATAAAGTGCATAGCAGAACCTGGTCCATGGTATTCAAGAAATGGCCAATCCCTAAAGGCCTTCGGAGGGTAATGTACAGAGGGCAATGTGCAGAGGGCGATGTGCAGAGGGCGATGTGCAGAGGGCCATGTGCAGGGGGCCATGTGCAGAGGGCCATGTGCAGAGGCAGATGTGCAGAGGGCCATGTGCAGAGGGCCATGTGCAGTGGGAGATGTGCAGAGGGCGATGTGCAGAGGGGGATGTGCAGTGGGAGATGTGCAGGGGGCCATGTGCAGAGGGCGATGTGCAGAGGGCGATGTGCAGTGGGAGATGTGCAGAGGGCCATGTGCAGAGTGCCATGTGCAGAGGGCGACGTGCAGAGGGCGACGTGCAGAGGGAGAGGTGCAGAGGGAAAGGTGCAGAGGGCGATGTGCAGAGGGCGATGTGCAGAGGGCCATTGCAGAGGGCGACGTGCAGAGGGCGACGTGCAGAGGGAGAGGTGCAGAGGGCCATGTGCGGAGGGCCATTGCAGAGGGCCATGTGCAGAGGGCGACGTGCAGAGGGCGACGTGCAGAGGGCGACGTGCAGAGGGAGAGGTGCAGAGGG